CTACAAGAAACCTTAACTCTATCTTACATAGAGGAAAAAATCCACTTGTCACGTTCTCTATCATTCGTTCTTCCAGTTCCTACCACAGAACCTGGAATAAAGCGTTTGCTTAAAGTATGAATGAACAAATAATCAGATCTGGAAGATATAAAGATTGGAAGAGAAATATCCGATCAAGCCACTTTGTATTAAAAGTTTAAGTTTCAAAATCTAAAAGTATCATCAAGAAATAGTCTGGTTTTTGTTTTTTTTAAATTTTTTAAATGTTTTATTTATTTCTGAGAGAGAGAAACCCTAAGCAGGGGAGAGTCAGAGAGGGAGAGGGAGATACAGAATCTGAAGCAGGCTCCCGGCTCTGAGCTAGCTGTCAGTACAGAGCCCGACACGGGGCTTGAACCCACGAACCGGGAGATCATGACCTGAGCCAAAGTCGGACGCTTAACTGACTGAGCCACCCAGGTGCCCCCCAAAATAGTTTGAAAATAAACTTGCTATTTCTAACAATGGTAATAAAGTTTGAGGGAAAAAAATACTTCTCTTTCAGACTAAGAGGTTGCTGAATGAAAAGCAATGATCATACGTGGCAAAATCAGAGATGCAATCAGGAAAGAGAAACCACATGGTAATCTGAACTTGCAAGGTTTAATATAAAGAAAATAACTGGGGCACCTGGGTGGCTCAGTCGGTTGAGTGTCTGACTTTGGCTCAGGTCATGATCTCACAGTTTGTGAGCTCAGCCCCACCATCGGACTCTGTGCTAACAGCTCAGAGCCTGGAGCCTGCTTTGATTTCTGTTTCCCCTCTCTCTGCCGTTCCCATACTCACGCTCTGTCTCTCTCTCTCTGTCAAAAATAAATAAATATTAAAAAAAGAAAAAACTATTAAATGGGATCAAAGTAATGAGGGCTTGGCTAATAAAAAATAAAGACTATTGGACTGACAAATATAAGGAAAATCGACTATAGTTACGGGCGGAGATAGAGCTTCCCCAAAGCCCGCTGGACTGAGATGCAGACCTCATTAGAAGCCTTGGTTGTGGCTCACTGAACAAGTAGCTGTGGGGGCCTGCCAGTGAATCTTGCTGGAAATCTTCCCTCCAGGGTGTTGGGGAAAAGTTCACTGAGAGGTATTCATTTTGCTGGAGGTCCTCCAGGATGAAATCAACTGAAGTGGGTGCTGGAAACAGCTGGTGATTGCTAACCACTGTGCAAGGCAGGAGCCAGTCACTAGGAAAGGTGTTCACACTCCCAAAGCAGAACTGAACCTGCTGAAAGCACACCGTACCCAGGAAGAAAACCTATTTCCTCCTTCAATGTCTTTCCAATACTTTGTCTACTGATAAAGTTTAATATTGTGCCAGCTGGCAAAAGAAAAATATTTAAAGGATCCAGCTCCATATCTGGAGTGCGCAAGAACGATGATTATGGAGCTAAGTTTTATTACCATAGTTCATCTCTTTGACCATCGAGCTTCCATATATGTATGCTTTTATATACTCCCATACAAAAATGCCCAACAGCAGCAGGGGTGGCTTTCCGGGCACCAGGCTCCAGCAGCATAGGCAGCTTCATCAGCATTCATTCTTAACTTACTCCTTTCCTAAGAGCCAGTCAGAAGAATATAGGCTATCAATAAGGAAATTTCACAACTTAGTCATAGTTCACACAAATGACAAAGTTCTTCCGTTGAGCTAACATGAATCCTTCTTACACAAAGGTTTTTTTTGTTTATTTGTTTGTTTTTAAAAAGCACTTACTATGGCACTAGATGATCCTGGTTAAAATCCCAAGTCTCATAACTGTAGTGCCTTAAGGAAGTTACTTGATGTTTCTTTGTCCCTATAAACTGGGGAGAAATCTTCCTCCTAGGGTTGTTGTGAAGAGAAAATCAATTGCAATGAAGACGAAATCAACTAATCTGCATCGAACCAAACCCTGAAAAAGTCAGCAAATGTTAACTACTATTGTTTCATCTCTAGAGACGGAGTTAGCTTATATTCTGTCTCCCCACATCAGAATGAACCCTCCATAAAGGCAGTGAGGATTTGTCTGTTTTGTTCCCTGCTTTGTCTGTACCACCTTCAACAGTAACTGGCACAGGGGCGCCTGGGTGGCTTAGTCGGTTAAGCTTCCGACTTTCGCTTAGGTCATGATCTCGCGGTTCGTGGGTTCGAGCCCCGCGTCGGGCTCTGTGCTGACTGCCAGCTCAGAGCCTGGAGCTTGTTTCAGAGTCTGTGACTCCCTCTCTCTCTGACCCTCCCCTGCTCATGCTGTCTCTCTCTCTCCTAGAAATAAATAAAACATTTATTAAAAAAAAAAAAAAAAAAAAAAAAAACAGTAACTGGCACAAACAAGTGCTCAAAAGTATTTAATAAACCACTGATCTCAAAACCTTCTATACTAAAAGACACTAGTGACAATTCTCCAGAGTCCTAAGGTTATAAAGAATTATAGTTTAGTAACTGAGAAACAATTAATGAGGAGGGGAATCAAAGAAAAAAATTATGCCAATTTCTCCTTTAATCAGACACATACCTGTAACATATTTCTTGTGTTTTAACTTGGCATTTACCAGCAGCATGACCTAGGAAAATTATTCCACTGGAACCTCAATTTTCTCTTTTGAGGGTAAAAGAATAACTACAAAGAACTGTTGAAACATTTGTTTTTCCTTTAAATAATGTATACAACATCTAGGACAAAGTTTCTATTCTATTGAATTTAAATATCACCTAAAGGCAATCTCTGGTTTTTCAAGTTTGAGCAGTATGCAATTAGCTCTCACTGTGCACTCAACCAAGCTAAGCTTAAACTGAAAAAAATTATTCTAAAGGTGTTTCAGAAAAAAGGGATATGGCATAATTTAAGTTCCCTCAGCATGGCCAATTCTGTAATCCCCTAAAATCTTCCTTCCAAGAGTTTATGTGAAAAGAATATAGAACAGTGTTCTGTACCTTCTGAAGGTAAAATAAAGCATCCAAAATCTAACATATATATCATAGCTCCAATTTAAAAGCATCAAAAAGACCACCAAGTATCTGGCATTAGATTTAATGGTGAATATTCTGAAATATGACCCTACTAATTAACAACCACATCACTCAGCAGAATAGTTCATTCACATTTTCAAAATATTTTGACATCTAAATTCCTAAAACTTAACTTCATTAGTTCCTCTTACTATTAATTTCCCAACACTGTAATAAGAGTCCAGTCAAAAATAACCACAAAATACAGGGAACAAGAACACCACTATTAGCAACTTTTAGTAGCAACAGTGCATAACACCCTTATTGTTTACTACTTGCAGGTAGCTGTTGGCAAAGCTGTAATTCATTCTTAAATTACAGACACAATTTTATCACTGGCTCAAAATACAAAGTAGAGATACTTCATTTTTCTCGCATGACTAGAGCTCAATCAACGGGCAATATAAATCTCATAGCAGAACTGAAATACTAGCTTTGCTTAAAATAATACAAAAATTATGGAGGTTAAAACTAGAATAGATCCCATCTGCTAGAAACACTACCAATTTTATAGCAATGTTAGTTCCCATTCTTGAGACCTAGAGATTACCTTTTCAAGATCTGCAGGCTCCACAGATCTTGACACTCACTCATTCAAGATCCCTGGTGTTCTACATTGAGAGTATCTAGACCCAAGAGGTTAAATGACTGTGTCTCACTTCCCCTCTCCCAACAGAAACAGCTAACCAGAGACAATGCAGATTAGAATTAGTTTTCTCCATTTGAAGAAAACTTCTCGTATCAGAAAAATCATTTGAAATATTGCTCTTCCACCAAGTGTCATGTGATCTACACTACCATTTTTTTTTCTTTTAAGATACACAGCAATCACAAGTTCCAGTTCTGCTCCCTTCCCATCATCTTCTTATAGGAGCAGCTGGGTCATGAAGGAGGAAGTGGGGATACATTGGACATAATAGATGTCACCACTCATTCAAGTCTTTATTGGAAAACTTTGGGATGTGACATCACCACCAGCTCACCCAAAACAAAAAAGCAAACTTAAGTTACTGACAGCAGAAATGATAAATCACCTAACTGGAGTTAAAAAGAAACAAAAAGAACACCACTGACTACGTATAGTGTATCTCACTGACTATGGAGTCTTTCTGCAAAAGTTGTATCATCTTTCCTCAGTTTTAGACACTCATCTTGTAACAAAGCATTTCAAAACAATGTTTCAGTTTAGAAGAACAAGCATCCCTGTATGATGATATATTCTGTATGTAGTAACTTGCTAGTTACCTACATAAGCAAATGTTTCATACGGCATGTTTTCAAACGCTTTCAGTGAAACACTTTTAACATTTTTCATCCAGCCAAAAAACCCCTAAACCCTCCACTTAAATAAGGAACACAAACAGGAAAATGATCTTAAGCCTAACCTTAAACACAAATATGAATATGGGAAGCGGAGAGAGGTTCATCACCATTCGGGATGCACTAGTCTCCCCAGAGAGAGGGATGGAGGTACAGGGAGACCTCATAAATCGAGGTGTACTGGACAAGTTAAGAGCGATCCCTCATGTTTTCCGCATTCTGCAACCCTCCATCGCTCAGTGGTGCGGCTCGGGCCATAACCTATAACCTTCATCCCAGAGGACCCCAGCATTTCTACGTGGTGTCCAAACCCAATTGCTGCAAGAAGAAAAGCTACAAGACAGGCCAGGCCGTGCCACTAAGGGACGTGGGGGGGGGGGGGGGGCGAGCTTTTCCTTTCCAAACCGAAATCGGAGCAATGGGTGCATTTGCAGAATGGATATCGTAAGAAGGTCTCTCAAGAAAAAAACATTCCCGAACTCGGGAGTAGAGACTGAAAGCCCCCCGGGCCAGCATCCACGCAGCCCGAACGCGGAGCGGAGACCGCACGCAGCCGTACCGCCCACACTCCGGAAGTATTCGGGGACCCCCACCCACCCCGCCAGGGCTGACCCACGCCCCCACTCGTTAGCCCTTGGCCCGCACCCCTCACCCTGGTGATTGAACAGTCTCCATATCCTGGTGAAGAGAATTCCCATTCTTGGGCAGCAGACCCCCCTCCAGCCACCCGGGCCGCCTGGCCTGCCCGGGCTTAGGCTGAAGGGGAGGAGAGAGACGCGCCGGAGCCTCCGCCTCTGCTGCTGCTGCTCCCGCGCTGGCCGCCAGCTCGCTTCCTGGGAACCGGAGGGAGGCCGAAGCCCAGGCCGCCCTGCCGCGTGCGAGGCCCCGCCGCTGCCGCCGCGGCACTCGCCTGGCTCGCGGACATCGCCGCCGCGTTGTCTGCGACGAGCCTCGCGGGCCACCGTCCTCCCCCAGCTCCTCTCGGGCGCCTGCGGTGGCGGCGACCACGCGGGCGGGGGAGGAGAGGGCTGGGACGAACGGGACAGGAGGGCGCAGGCGCGCGGCCGAAGGGGCGGAGCCTGAGAAAGGGCGCCCGCTTGGCGGTGTTTTACTTGCTTTTCGAAAAGACCTGTAGCCTGCGGGACCGAGCCCGGGGATCCAGGCAATGCAGGCTGCGGGTCGTGACAGATACCTCTTATCTGCTTGCTTTAACGTCCTTGCCAGTTTCATGTTTTTCCTTGCGTTTCCTGGACAGAGCCGTAATGCAAATATGTTGAGTGCCTAGTACCAATCCGCAGTTTTTCATACACACTACAGCGAAAGTTCCACGTCTCACCTTTGCGCAAAGACGTGGTGTTCTGGGAGGGAAGCTTAACATCTCTCTCTCTCTCTCCTCTCCATCCAGCTGAAGCCAGTGGCCTTACCTACAGAATTACTTACTGCAATTAAGGTTTGCGCCTCAGGGCTCTTCCGTCTCCAATCTCCCTCCTCTTTTTTTTTCAGTCTAGCCCCAAGCAACGATTTTGTTCAAGTCCCTCCTAGGTTAAAAAATCTGCCGTAGGAACTAAAACTGAGCAGCAGAGTCCAAATACCTCAGATGTTAATTTTTCTCCAGAATATGACCCCAACTAGCCTTTCCAGCTGGAATTTCCGTTATTCCCAACTGGCTAAGCAGCCGGTCAAACGTTTTCCTCTGCTCCTACAGTCTCCTTGCCCGGACACCTAGAATAGCTATGTCCCATACTGTGCAAGTGTCACATTGTATTTCATCAACCTACTAGTATGGGATATTTAGTTCGAAACTAGAATAAAAGTGAACCATTAGGTTACTTGATAGCAAGAGTTCTCCTTCCAGGTGTTGTCTTTTATCTAGGTAAATTGCTTAATCTCTCCAGGCCTCACTTTTCACATATGGAAAAACAGTAGGTTTGTCCCTAAGGTCTTTCTTTGATTCTTTCTATTCTCCTTAACTTTGGTTAAGAGAGAGAGAGAGAGAGAGAGAGAGAGAAGAATATGGGAAATCTATAAAAGGCATTTTGAACTTCTGCTCCTTCATGCTCAAGATCTGAATGAAATTAAACCAAATCAACAATAAACTACGTCTTTCCACCTCACATCTACTAGCCGTACAATATCTTATCTCGATATAGCAAAAAATATTAGTAAGACCTTGACAGTCTACAGTTCTTCTTAACTGGACTAAAAAATTTGTACTGTAAAACAACGAGCAGCATAGAGGACTGAAATGTGTTTCTTTTTAAACAACTGCAAGATAAAAGTCCTTTGACTTCTTTGGGGGCTTTTGGTTAAAAAAGCCAAATTCATTTTCTTTTTTTAATTTTTTAATTTTATTTTAGAAAGAGTGTGTGTGAATGGGGAAGAGGGGTCCCAAAAGCCAAATTTAGAAGTGACATATGAAAGGAAAGAAAATTACGAATCCATTTTATGTTATGCTTATATTTACATAATAAAGTACTCTCTAGGTTACTTAGAAAAACAATATTTTTTGCATAGACAATTTAAATTAACTCTTAACATTAATATTTCCATTCTTGCACACTGTTGGTGGTACTTTTGGCAGATCTTAAGACATTTTACAAACTCGCCACACATCTCTTTCCACGTATTAAATGGTTATCATATCCATATTTACTTGCAAAGTTAGGGCTTAGTCTGCCAGATTATTTCTAAGTGGCTCTCAAAAAAGAAGAAGAAGAAGAAGAAGAAGAAGAAGAAGAAGAAAAGGGAAATTTGCCCAATACAATATTGTCCAACTATAGGACCTTTGTGTGAGATATAAATTTGGACCACTGTGTAAGTACAGTAATTGGAAATGTTTGTTGAGTAGTGTGAAGCTATTTGTGAAAACAAATTCCTTATAAAATCTTTTAAAGAGTATCCATGATTACAGTAATGTGCAAAATGTCACGAAAGAGACTTCTGCTTCCAGGTATGGGAAAGTGGGATGGTCTAGAATTGCCCTCTGTTATCATTAACAAATAGGAAACGAGACAAAATGTGGAAAACAACTGTTTTCAGATATTGGATAACATACAGCACAGGATTGAGGCATGAATGAGGTGAGTCTAACCATTACCTGGATTTTCTGCCTGGAGGCAATGCCTAGCCAGTGACAGTGGGGGTGGGAACTCAAATTGAGTCTAGCAGTCTCCTTGAGTTGAAGACAAAGATCAGTGTTCCAAGGTATCAAAGTAGCTAGAATCAAGCAGACTGGCTAAAAGGAGGGAGCTATACAGAGAAAAGCTCCAGAAGCCTGCTTAAGTTGAGCTACTGAGTCTTTGGCTGTTAATCAACCTGGACCGGTGCAGAAACCCGAGACTAGCCAGTAACAATTTCTGAGAAAAGAAACAAGTACCAGGGAGCTGTAAAACATGTAATTCTCAGAACTTCCTAAGGACCAGGGATGATCTGAGTACCCATTCTGTCAGTCAGAGTGAAGAGAACTCACTAAATATATGGGACATTCAGTAGACACCCCCAGAGACCTTGGAAGAGAAGCTAAATAAGCCTATGAAGAAATCTCACTCTAGACCAGTCCTAAACGAGCTTAAAAACAAACCTTGAGAGGATCAAACTAATCTACAATTGGCTGTCAAAACAAGTCCAGCATTCTTTTGGAGGAATATAAGGTCAAGTCATCCAGAATGGAGTATTTCCATTATCTTGAATCCAATAAAAAAAATTACCGAAACTACAAAGAAACAAGTGACGGTGACCTGTAACCAAAAGGAAAACTGCTTTACAAAAACAGATTAAAGTACAGGCAAGTTAAGTGATTGCCCCAAGCTCATAGCTGGTTACTGCCAGATCCAGGCTTTGAACACAGGCAAGAGTTATGGCTTACAGTTTAATCACTATACCAATCTGCATGTTGTATGACAGGACAAACAACATGTTTGTCCACAACCCTTCCTATTAGTAGAGGTTTGTTGATGACCAAAGAGGTGGCTTCAGGCATATGGCCAGTTTAATGGAGCCATTGCACTGAGCTGCAATTATTCTATTTGGGAATTCCGGATTTTTGGTTTAAATGCCTTAATAGATAGGACAGCCCTACATAATATTTCTCCACTAATTTAAGTACCATTCATTCAGTCAACATTTACTGTATTCCAGCATTGTTTTCTGTGTTTCAAATGACTACCAGCTTAAAAGCTTTTGATGTATGTATTTTTTAGACAAAAGTACTTTGCAGAGAAAAGTTACAATGACCTTTGTTTTCCTCATTTGTAGTTGGGTCTAATAATCTATGCCCTGCCTATTTTCCAGCGTGGTCAGATGGATTAAATGAGATAATGCTTGTGAAATAAGTTGGCGGCAATAAATCACTGTGTAATTCTACTGCATTGATAATAATCAACATAGTGTACATTTCTTTTGAACTTTTTTGCTCACTACAACGAGAAAAAAGTCAAATGCCAATCAAGTCACAGCGTGGTTGACTGACACAGGGCACATGAAATGTCAAGTCATAAGCTATATGCCATCAATGGAATGCTTATGGATGGAGACAAGATACTTTTGGAAACTTCTGATAACTGCTACGTTAAAGTAATCATTTAGGGATTTCTCATGAATAATAAACTTTATCTAGTTTATTTTTCTATATTGTATTCAATCCTACTTTACACATATATTGTAATATATTCTGTGTGTGTGTGTGTGTGTGTGTGTGTGTGTAAGCATGTAAAGGCTTACTTTACATGCTGTCTCCTAATATAATACTTCTTTCGTAATAAACTCCTATACCCTAGCAGAGTATTCAGGAAATCGTCATTTAGTTGAATCTGTGTTGTGGAGGTAAATGTTTAAGACTTTTTTCTGCAAGAGGTATAGGAACATACCTCCAGAATAATATAAATATCTCTAGAATAATATAAAGGAGAGGTATAACGCTGATTTCAGTGTTTTCTCATTTATTATATAAAAGAAAAAATTAATGCAGTTGATTTGTACACATTTAAATTCCATAAAACAAATCCATAGAAATTAGGATACTCTATGCATGCACTCTGCATTTTCTGTTAAATGTTTTTCTTCACAAAAATAACAACACATTTTTTTCTTTAAAGCCACTAAAGCAGAGGGAGAACAAAACATGCAGCACTGAACACATTTGCATAGTATATTTTACCCAGCATGCCTTGTAGAATGCTACACATTTACCTATATAAGAAAAATAAAAGGGGATAAATTATTAAAATAAATAACTAAAATTTAAGGAAAAGAAAACATTATTTGACAAAGGCAATTTTTTTTTCCACTTTGTAGCTGGAGATATAGCAATAGCTTGGGATATCAATAGCCCTCAGAGTAGTGGGGAAAATCTTTTTACATCAATTTGCCATGTTTAGTTTTAGTATTAATAAATTTATCTGTTTTTCCCTCCCGCCACCCCTTTAAAAAAACAACTAATGGTTTTAACTTATGTTTCAAAATAGTATTCAGTACAAAACAAATTGAAGGATCCCTAAGTACTTTTTTGTTGTTGTTGGGACATCTGTATTTATCGTTCTGACTTTAGGCTGTGAAAAACAGAAAACATTTCAAATATGTCCAAAATGCAGAGGAGCCCTATGAGCTCACTTGCCATACTTTTTGTAGTTGTTACTGAAGGAGCAGAAATAAGAACAGTAAATATAATGTGAGTCTTATCACAAAATAACATTTAATAAGTTTTATGCAAGGGAATAAAATAAAAGAAATTACATCCACAGGTTGCAAGGCTATGAAGTAAATTGCTGGAAAAGTATCAAGCAGCAAGTTAAAAAGATGGCAGATGAAATAAATCCGATAAAACTTAGAATGAAATCTATATATTTTTAAAAAATACAACTGCCAGATTTAACAGTGGATTTTGTTGTTAAGTTTGTGCTATAACAAATGTGCTTCTTTCTCCTCAATCTATTTTCATATTATTGGCAAAATATATATCTTTTATAATTTTGTACTGTACAATATATGGTTTGCTACATTAT